AAAAAATTTGAGACAAATTCTAAGTTGCCTGGGCTTGTCTTTAACTTGTAATACGCCTGCCTTAGCCTACAGAGTCACTGGAATTAAAATCATGTGCCGTGACACTTGACGTTTTTGCCCAGTTTTTAATGAGGTTGTTTTGTTTTGTTTGTTATTAAGTTATAGGGGTTTTATATATTTTGTGTTTTAACCTCTTTTCAGATAAATGGTTTGCAAATGTTTTCTTTGTTTCTGTAGGTTGCCTTTTTACTCTGTTCTTTGTGTCCTTTGCTGTACACGGCTTTGTATTCTTTTTCTTTGACAATGAATCCCATTTGTGTTTTTTGTTCTATTATGTTAAATATATTTTAAGTAATCAAAAAAGCAATTAAGACAATAGAAGGAACCAGGGCATTCACAAAAGATCTTATGGAGAAGATGACTTTTCAAGAAAATGTAAAGGATGAAAAGGGCAAGCCACAGCTATACCTAGAGGAAAAGCAAGTCAGAGGTGCAAATATTAGGAGCAAACCGCCTAAGCTGGGGCCATCTGTAAGGTATTGAGGTAGCAGTGAAAAAGCACATGATGTGAGTACAAAAGAGAGAGAAGGAGTCAGACCAGCAGTGAGATGGGACAGTTGACACGGGATCCGAAAGGTTTGGTAAGCACTTGACGGCTTTCAGAATATGCTGCTTCCAAATACAGAATCTAGGAAACACCAGAAGCAAGATCACTCTCTCTTCCCCTCTGCCCTCTTCTCTCCTGAAGCAGTCATAAGACTTTCATGTATATGATCACATATTTCTATAAAATATTGTTACACAGCAGTTTGTGTGATGGGGAGAAAACTTTGAGGTCAAATGCACATTCGGATTTTAGCCTTTTTAGTTTATGGCTAACAGTGACTATTATCACTTAACCTCTTTGAGGTTCCATTCTTTCATTTTTACAACTGGAATAAAACCAATATACCCCCCAAGGAGTTTAATAAGGTGTCAACGGATAGAAAGAATAAGGTATGAACAGATAGAAAGAAAATCTCGTCCAATGCCTGGCTCCTTAAGCTGCTCTTCCTTCTGTTACCCCAATTCTTCCCTATGCAGAGGTGGCTCTGTGTATTTTTCTTTTCAAACTCAGCCTTCAAATGATCTCACCTGCACCACGTTTTGGTGTCAGGTGGCTGTACCGTGATCTCTGCTTCTGCCTGTTTTTCTTTTCTACGCAGTTCACTTGGTCTCAGCATCCTCTCACATTCTTTCAAAGAGAAAATGAAATGCCACCATGCACTCAGAAGTAGAGGGGAATATGATATTCCTTGAACCTTCCCAAATGGAGATGGAGCACGGTGCACATTTTATTCCTGGCCGTTTGCTTCAAAGCCCTACCAATAATATCTGGTGCTGAGCTCCTCGTGTTTTAGGGTCGAAATATTTGTATAAACTCTGCTTGTTGTACTTCAAACTTGGCTGTCATTTCCTGTCAGGAAGAAAACAAGAGAAACTCCGAATACAAGTCCTGACTGGCCATCAGCCTCACAGGAAAGAGTCTCACAATTTGTCCCAGCCCAGGCACTTCATCTTCAAACAGAAACTGCATCTTAATTATAGCCTTTAATGGGCTGTTTCACTCCAGGATCAATATGTCTGACAAAAACCAAGCTCCGCTAAAAGCTCATTAATTCACATCTGACTAATTCAGGATTTGTGATGATTTTGGCAGGAATCAAGCCGAAGTTTACCTTTTGTACTGCTGCTTGCAAAGGTTTAGCTTGGCCGATTAATTAGGAAGAACAGAATTGCCAGGAACATATTTACAGAGCATCTATATGCATGGAGATAACAGGCTGATGTTAGCCTCCTCCACTGCTCTGTTCCTACCCCACAACCCCAGTTAACCACTATTTTGCATAAACATGCTGGGCCTGGGAACTGAAAAATACAGTGTCTCGGAAAGGAAATGCTGACAAAATGCATCGCTTTCATTCTTCTGTGGCTTATGCCTCCAGGACTTTGTGTCAAGTGCTTCGCTTCTCACTTTAGCTGTAACTGTGATGGGCATTTCCAGGCAGAGTCAGACATCTCTATGGGTAGCATCCGGTCTCCAACATGGCATATAAACTGCTTCTCGTGGTTTTCCCCTGAACCCAGAGGAAGTACAAACCAGAAGCACAGGGATTTGATGTCTTCCGAGGAGAATCTTCCTCCCCTACGTACTCTAGAAGGAATTCTTTAAGGTTTTCATATCCTTGGGCAACAGCTGTGGCCTTGATAATGTTACTGCTTTGGCTCTTTCTGCTTCACTGATTTACTCACTATTTCGTGATATCCTTTCTACAATAAACCATTTACCTTCAAGTTTCACACTCTGCTTTCAGGGGAGTTCTCACTAGTCCCCATGCTTCCAAACTTGTATATAAATGGATGTGCCATGAGATACTTGCTTATTCCATCATCCAACTTTTATTTGAGAGATACATTATTGTCTTATGCTTCTTCAGTTTGGGATTGGTTTTCACTCATGGTTTCACATAGGCAATGTTTGTTTTTGTTTTTGTTTTTTGTTTTTCTTTTCTACCCTTATAGAACTCTTTCTCTTCTGTTTTTTTCTTAGTTTTTTAAAGTTCTTTCTGTGGTTCTCGATCCTCTATTGATCTGTCTCTGCTGGTGCCATTTCTCTGCCTCCTCCTCTTCCCTTCTTTTCTCCAGCATCGGCATGAACTGTTTCTGCCACCAACTCTTTTCCTTATCTGGTGTTCATTTTTCCCCTTGGTAATATAACGTATACCAACTATAATTGATAGATCCTGTGTTTTTAAATTGTCCCCAAAAGATAATGAGCATGTGATTTAACCAGCACCTTTAAAAAAACTAGGACCTTTCCATTATCACCCAAACCACCCTTAGGTTTGAGCACCTGCAGAAATGTTAAACACTCCTGCTTCCTTGAAACTTGATGTCTCTGCTTCATCATGATGTCCACCTTCATCTTTTACCCCTCTGAGCTTCTTGGATGCTTCATCCTCATCTTTGGTCATTTCTTCCCTTTTTAAAAACTTTGGATCCTCATGCATAACACCTGGACCAGTAACAGTACCAGTAGACCAGTAACACCAGGAAGTCTTTTTTGTAAATGTAAAATCTTGTGTCCTACACTAGATCATCTGAGGCACAGAATCTGCATTTGAAAAAGACCCTGCAGGTGATTCATCAACACATTAAACTTTGAGAAATGTGGCAAAGGTTTCTTAGTGTACTGAACTGTTTTTCTTCCTTACTTTCTATGCTCTCCTGAGATTTCTCTGTTCTCATTGCACCAGCTACTGTCTATGAACTGATGATTACCATATAATTGCATATTTTCAACTTAGGTCTCTGTTCCAAACTTATAGTATTTATAGAACTGGCCAACATCCTATAGACAATATAGAATGTCTATATTGGGATATCTTACACATGACTCCAAAGCAAGGCATGAAGTGTGGTTACTGCAGTGAGGCTGTTGCTGGTTGTTTACTTTGGAAGCAGGTTTACACAAGTGGACCAAAGATGGACAAACCTAGATATTGACATCAATTCGGATCAGTTTCAAACTGGCTTAGGTAGTCGCTGGTTGCTACCGCTAAAGAATAGTGATTTGTGTTCGTTCTTGAAATCTAGCTAGGATCTCTTACATTCTCCCATATTAATAACTCTCTTGACTCTTATACTCACCAAGAAATATGACCTTGTGATGGATACAGTGGTGGTTTTCCCAAATTGCTTTTAGGGTTCATTTATTCATCCCCTTGCTTATCAGGATGTCAGCAGCTATTCTCCTTACTAGGAATTGTCTCAGGATATAGGAAACTCATTTGTTGAATAGCATGTGTCCTTCTAGGGGGCAGCCTGGAGCCAGCGGTGAATTGATAAAAGGAAACAGAGTCTTGGTACCCTATTCTCAATTTGCAACAACTCTGAAGGTTTCAGTTTAGCTTCAGAGCCACTTTGGGGACAGCAGAGGCCTCAGTTTCAATACAGATTCCCCTACTCAGTACAGCCTTCTTCATATGCCTAAAGATTCATCTGAGAGTATTCGCAAATAGATCTCCTGAAGGAGTGTTATGTCTCAGAGCCTACTTCTCAGGAACACTGCCTCTCCTTCTTGCTCCCTCTCTTATTGTACACATCCATATTATCCTGCTGCCCCATCCAGAAAAGTAGGATGATTTTTTAGTCTTCTTTCCTGTTTTAGCCTAAATACTAGGACAATACCATTCCAGTAATTTCTCCTTCCCATTCCTATGGCCATTATTCTAATTAAAGCTTTTATCCATCTCTCACCTGGATAACTGCAAATATGATCCTAACTTCGTTCTGCACTGCAATAAGAAAAGAATTCTAAAATTTAAAGAAAGATCATGCCATTTGCATTCCTTCAGCAACCTTTCTCAGCATAAATTCCAAAGTTCTTGAGATAACCGTCTAACACCTTGCCTCACGTAGCACCAGGCTTAGGTCTCTCAGAGGAGTCATTTCATTGTGTTGCCACAGGTTATCACACTGTCTCCAGACACAGAGGTGGCTTCTCTAATAACACACACAGGGGTTTCTGTCTTAGCATCATTTGGCCTTGATGAAAACGTGATGTCCACTAGGAACTAGAATGAAATTTTCCTGGAGACATCTTCTCAGTTCCCCTAAGTGGGTGATTCTTTCTGTCCCGCACATTCTAAATTCAGGAAATGAAATGATATCACTGTTTGCTTATGTATCTAACCTGTCACTTACCTTTACTTCTTAAGAGCAGCCATTTAAACTTGAGGGCATCATGATCCATTAGGAATTTGCTAGGGTGACCAGCCAGCCAGGATTTACAACACTCTGCTGATGTGATTCTTTTTATGCATCCTGTAAATTTTAGTTATAGCTACACTTGTCTGTGGCCAGGGAGAACAAGGCTGGCTCCTTTTTGTAATTTCATAAGCACAATAAGATCATAAATTTCAGGCTGACTTTTCTTCCTGTGTCACACCCTTCCCCAGCCCCAGAAACTACTGCCTGAAGCAAGACAATGGACTTTCAAAAGAAAATGTCAGCATTAATAGACAGCCACACTAGAAGAGAAAGATAGTACCATTTCAAGGTTATTTGAAGTTCATCTCTACCTTTTAAGTGGAGTCCCAGGACTGGAAATTCATAAATATTTGCTCTGGGAGCAAGTGACCACATCCATTCCAAGATGAAGGATAAGTATGCAAATATGTATATCCAGATGTTGTTGCAACCTTGTATGCCTCACCTGGGTGGTCAGTAATTTTTAGAAGAAATATACAAGTGGTTTGACATCACAGAAATTTGCTCAACTTTCCTTAGGATAGCAGCGTCCTTTTATTTCACAGCTGTATGTTTGTTCTTGTCTGTCTCTGCTCACTCCAAAAAAGTTTTTAAAAGGTTTGATTTGTGTTTTTAATAACATTGTTAGAACATCTATAGATTTACAGAAAATTTATGAAAAAATACAAAAAAAATTTTCATGTGCTTATTAATATCCAGTTTCTTTCATTATAAACATTTTGCATTATTAACATGATGTAATTGTCAAAAATAATTAACCAATATTGTTACATTATTGTTAGCATAAATCCATAATTCTTTCATTTTCCTTTAGGATTATTTTTAACCTAATGTCCTTTTCTGAGTTAGGATTTTTATCCAATATACCAATTTAAAGTCACTTGTCATGTGTCACTTGGCTTGCTGGTGACAGTTTCTCAGATGTTCTTTGGTTCAGCTGACCTTGACAGTTTTGAGGAGTCCTACTCAGATAGTTTGTAAAATAGCCTGATATTTTCTCAGAATTTGATTGAGGTTATAGATGTTTCAGAGGAAGGCTATGGGTGTAAAGTGCTGTTCTTTTCACATCTTGTTAAAAGTAAGTCACGTTTAGTATGATATTACTATTGGGTACCTCCTTGAGGTAGTGTTTGTCAGATTTATTTATTGTAAAGTTACTTTTTTCTTTCCATTTCCATACTGTACTCTTTGGACACACTATGTGCAGCATATGTGTAAGCCTTGATGGCCAAGTAAGTATATAAATTATTTCAAATTCTTCTGTATATCAAATTGTCAGATTGTCTCCATTCATTTATATAGTCATTCATTCATTATGTGACTATGACCTGGTGGACATTTTTTTTTCTACAGGGGATTGGACCCCAAATCTTGTGCATGATAAGTAAGTATTCTAACAGTGAAAAACAACTTCAAAAGTTTATCTATCTATCTATCTATCTATCTATCTATCTATCTATCTATCTATGTATCTATCTATCTTATCTGTCTTGAACAATTCTTACTAAGTTGCCCAAGCTGGCCTCAAATTTGTAGTCAGTATTACAAGTGTGAACCATCACACCAGACTAGTGGCTCTTATACTTTGGATTAAAGCACAGTTGTAATTACTGATTTTTTTTGTCAAGTTGTTTCAGACCTGGCCTTAAGAAGACATTTCAGCTTTAATAAAATGGAGAACACAGAAGAAATGGACAGATTTCTAAATACATGTGAATTACCAAAGTTGAACAAAGAAGATATAAAAATTCTAAATATCCAAATTATGATTAGTAAAATTGAAAACATAATTAATCATGTAAAGGCACAAGATCCCAATGATAAATATAGCTGTACTGTATACCTAATACGTATCAATAAACTCAATGAGGGAAAAAACATATATATACAAAGATATTAGCCTTATGTTAAAAAAGAAGAAAACATAATTAAAAATTTACCAACAAAGAAAAGCCCAGGTCCTGATGGCTTCACTGCTGAATTCTACAAGATATTTAGAGAATAACTATTGCCAGTGCTTTTTAAACTTTTCATTGAAATTGAAAAGGGAGCAATACTTCCACATTCAGTCCTGGAAGCAAGTGTTAATTTGATTCCAAAACCAGGGAAAGACCCAACCAAACAAAGAGAACTACACTCCAATATCCTTAATGAACATAGATGCAAAAATTCTCAATAAGACACTGGCAAATAGAGTGCAGAGTGTCATCGAGAAGATCATAACCCTGACCAAGACAGATTGATACCAGGGGTGCAAGGATGGTTCAACATATGTAAATCAATAAATGTAATACACTATATTAACAGAATCAAGGACAAAAACAATATGATCATCTCAATAGATGCAGAAAAAAACATTTGACAAAATTTAACACCAATTCATGATAAAAAACCCTTCGGAAAACTGGAATAGATGGTCTTTATCTTGACTTGATAAAGTCTATTTATGAAAAACCAACAGCCAACATCATACTCAATGGTGAAAAATTTAAGACCTTCATGCTAAAATCAGGAACAAGATGAGGAGGTCCACAATTGCCACTCCTGTTCAGTATAGTTTTGAAAGCATTAGCCACAGAAATTAAACAAGAGAAACAGTTAAAAGCAGAAAAGATAGGAGAAGAAGAACTTAAAATGTCATTATCTGCTGATGATATGATACTCTACATAGAAGACCCCAAAATCCCTGCGAAAAGACTTCTGGACATAATCGACAGATTTGGTAACATAGCTGGATACAAGGTAAGCACTGAAAAGTCAATAACCTTCTTGTACATAAATAACAGACTCACTGAGAGTGAAATTAGGGAAATGATTCCTTACATGAAAGCATCCCCCAAAAATGAAATATCTAGGAATCCATCTAACAAAGGAAGCAAAAGGCCTCCACATTGAGAGTGACAACACTCTGAAAAAAGAGATTGAAGAGGATATAAGAAACTGGAAATACATCCCTTGTTCTTGGGTAGGAAGAACCAATATATTGAAAAGGCCATACTTCCAAAATTGCTGTACAGATTCAATGCAATCCCTATTGAAATCCCAGCAGTATATTTCACAGAACTAGAGAAAACAATCCAAAAATTCATTTGAAACCTGAAAAGACCCAGAATAGCAAAATCCATTCTAGGCAACAGAGACACGAAGGGATTATCACAATCCCCAACTTGAAGCTATACTACAAAGCTACTGTGATAAAAACAGCATGGTGGGCCTGGGATTTAGTTCAGTGGTGCTTCCACCTTTCTCGCAAGCATAAGGTCCTGAGTTCAATTCCTGGTACCAAAACAAAAAAAGCCAAACAAACAAAAACAAAAACAGCATGATCCTGACAAAGAAATAAACCTGAGGATCAGTGGAATAGATTAGAAGATGCAGGAAAACTCCAAACATACTCAGGTACTGCATCTTTGACAAAGGAGCCAACCATCCTCAGTGGGGGAAAGAAAGCCTCTTTAGTAAATTGTGTCCAAAAAACTGGATTTCAATTTGTCAAAGATTAAAACTAAGCCTATCTTTCACCTTGCAGCAAACTAAAATACGAGTTTATTAAAGATCTAAATATTAAAACAAAACACTAAACTTGCTGGAAGATAAGTTAGGTAGAACTCTCCAAGACATTGGCACAGGAAAAGAGTTCATGAACAAATCCTCACTAGCTCAGAAGCTAGCACAAAGAATCAATAACTGGGATCACTTCTTTTTAGAAAATTTCTGCACTGCAAGAGAAATCAACAACAGAGTGAAGAGACAACCCATAATGTGGAAAAAAATTTTACCAGCTGTTCCTCAGACAAAGGTATACTATCTAGAGTATATAAAGAATTCAAAAAATCAGCCCCAACCAAATATAAAGACCCAATTCAAAGATGGACATTTGAAACAGACGTTTCTCAGACAAAGAAGCAAAAGCATTAAATAAACATATGAAAAGATGTTCATTATCACTGTTCATTTGAGACATGCAGAAGAAAACAACACTGAGATTTCACCTCATCACAGAAATAATGGCTGCTATCAAGAAATCAAATAATAACAAATGCTGGCAGGGTTGTGGGGAGAAAGGAACCCTTCTTCATTGTTGGTGGGAGTGCAGACTGGTGCAACCACTATGGAAATCAATATGGAGATAACTCAAACAACTCTACATGTCCCATTTGACCCAGCTATTTCTCTGCTGGGTATCTTCCCAAAAGAATTAAATGAATCATAACACAGTGATATATGTGCACTCATGTTCATAGTGGCACAGTTTTTAATAGCTAAAACTTGGAAACAGCCCACTTGTGCATCAACTAGAGACTGGATAAAAAAGATGTGGTTTTATAAAATAGAGTACTACTCAGCTATAAAGAATGAGAAATTAGAGTCTTTCATAGGAAAATGGATGCATATTGAGGCCATAGTCTAAAGTGAAATAAATAGGATTCACATGTGTAAATACTGAATAGTGTCTCTGGTGTGAAAAACTAAAAGTGTAAATAAGATCCAACCTGTATACCTGATTATGTGAAATAGGAAGGGCTAAAGGTAGGGGAAGTGGGAAGGGTAGGGGAAATGAAATAAGGGAAAAGAAAAAAAATATGAGAAAAGGAAAAGCAATGGAAACAAAGTCTTTGTAAATAGAGAAGAGTGGAGGGGGTGAAAGAAGGGCAGGGTATGGGAAAAAATGGGAACCAAGATCTGCCAAGTAAAGGTAAAAGATCACCATGATGAATGTAACTGTACTGTATACCTAAAAAGTAGCAATAAATTCAATGAAGAAAAGAAAAAAGAAAGAAAAACCTAAACACAAATATAACATTTGTTCCAGCTATATACTTATGGATATATTTACAAAAATTTAAGTTAATTATATAGTGATATCTGCATACCCATATTTACACTAGTACAATGCACAATAGCTAAACTGTGATAATCGCCTACATCCACATCACTGGGTAAATGGATAAAGAAAATGTGGTATTCACATACAGTGAAGAATATCCACTCATAATAAGGATGAAATCATATCATTTCATGCCTTGCAAGTGCAAGGACCTGAGTTCAATCCCTGGTACCAAGAAGAAGAAGAAAAAAAAAAGAAATCATATCATTTGCTTGAAAATGGATGGAATTAAAGATCATGATTTTAAATGAAATAAGCCAGACTCAGAAGGTTGAATATTACATATTTTCTCTTATATGACAAATATAATAAAGAAAGGAAACACCGTGCTACATCTCTACTGATTTTTTTCACTTTTATATTATGAGACAGGGTCTCACTAAGTTGCTATGTTGTCCAGGCTGGACTTAAACTTGTAGTCTGCCTGATTCTGCCACTCAGAGTACTGTTATGCCCTTTTTTATTTATCATAGAAGTTCTTATATGCATAAATCTCTGTGCAATTTACATATTTTATATATATATGCTAATTATGTATTACCCCCTTGAGCCCTAATAGTGGTGTTTTTAAATGACCAGAAGTTCAAAGGTAACCTATTACAATATACCGATCTCTTTATATGCTGTTGTTTGTGTCTTGTTTAATAAAAATTGCTTATTCCAAGAAAAAAAAGATAAAGTAAGCAGAGAAAGTGCTAATTATAGATGGACAGGAAAACAGTAACAGTCAAACATATTATAATAGAAATGACAAGAATAATTACCTATGATGGTAACAGTAACCTGAAAACCTGAACAGAAACTTTCTACATTACAAAGCAAAGAAAGAGAAGAATTTGAAAAAAATAATCTTTTAGGATAATCTCAAAAGGTATAACATACATGTAATAGACTATCAAAAGATAAAAAGAGGGAATATTTCAATTATTGATGAGGAAAAATAAATGCAGACAGCAAAGCATGGATTTAGGAAGCTGGAAAAATGTTGAGTAGGTATTACAAACAAAACCCTATGCTTAAGTACATTATGTTCTAGCTATAGAAACAAAGACTAGTGATAATATTAATAAGCCAGAAAAGAACACAAACACAAGAAATGCCTCAGACTTCTCCTTAGAAAACTGATAGGAAGAAAATAATAGAATGAAATATTTTAAAAGATTATAAGCAGGGAAAACCCCAATGAAATTATCCTTCAAAAACAGAGAAGAGATAAAGACTTTCTCAAACTGAGGAAATTTGTCAATATAGACTTGTTTTTCAAGAAATCTAAAAGGTGTTCTTCAGAAAAAAAGCAAATGATACAGATTTAAACCTCAAAGCTATATGAGAAAGGAACAGTATTTGAGAGGTAGTAAATAAAGGTTAAAAAGTCTTCATTTCTTTTTTTCTTCTTCTTTTTTTTGGGGGGGTACTGGGCATAGAATTCAGGATCTTGTGCTTGGGAGGCAGGTGGAAGAAACACTGAGCTAAATCCCCGGCCCTCTTCATTTCTTGTTGTTAATTGATCTAATAGATGCTTTGTTCAAAATAATAATTGTAACTATTATTTGATTATTGTAACTATGAGTAAATGAAATGCATAAGACCAGTGTAATAAAGGACAGGAAAGAGGAGTTCATATACTCTTCGAAAAAGTAGTACATCGGAAGAATAGGGGGCTTTCTCAACTTGGTGAAAAATATCTACAAAAAAAACTACAGTTAACATTCTTAATGGTGAGAAACCTAATGTTTTGACCAAAAAATGTGAAGTATCCAAACTGAAGAAGAAATGAAAATGTATTTGTTTGCAAGGTTGCAAATTACACAGCTAATATA